TCTCTTTTTTTTTTTTTTTTTTTGGCTTTAAATATCTGAGTTCACTTTTAGTAAGAGAACTGCTAGGTAAGAAATCAGAAGGAGCATGAGGGAACACATAATCAGCTCTCTGCTGTGAAATGATGGTGGTAGATGGGGTAAAAAATGTGTGTGTTTGTGTGTGTATCATTATGTGTGTACACAATCATATGTTATACAGACAAGTACTATGGGTATTTATATATAAATATATGTGCGCAAAATTGAAATAAAAACTTTTTTTGCTTACAGTGACACTCATGGTAGTTTTAAAAAATTTTAAAGAAAGAATCGCAGATTTTTACTCTGAAAGCATGATATGGAGATGGTGAGGAGAATGTGGAATGGATGTGAGGGATATTTTCAGTGTGAAATATTTGGGATTAGACTCAGGGGTATGACTCTGAAGGATGATATAGGGCAGATGTAAGATGTCAAGGGAAAAGTAAGAATGAATGAGTAAAGTCACAGTGAACCCTACTTAGGTTACAGGCAAATACTACACCATTTTATATAAGGGTGTTGAACAGCTTTGGAATTTGGTATCTTTGGGGGTCCTGGAACCAATCCCCCATGGATACTGAGGGACACCTGTAATTTGTTCCCTAGTTCAAAGCTTGGAGGGGCTGAACAAGCATCTGTCTCACATCTGTCTGATTTGTATCACTTGAGAATTCTTCTATTGCTTCAACTTCATCATTTGCACTTTCAAAAAGGGCTTTTCATCCTGGTTAGATAGGAACAGGTTTTAGTGAATGTTGACAGTAGCTTCCTACCATACTCAGCCTCTGTTCTACCTGGCCATGGTCCTGACCTGTGCATGAGGCCATGGCCAGCTCTTCATTTTGTATATCAGTGTAAGTGCCCCACGTAGCTCCTCTTCACTTACCAGGGCACCATCCTGTATCTGCTAACAATTCTCAGCCATCCCCATGTGGAGCACCTTCTACCCATAGTGCCCCAGTCCACCTGGGACCCTTGCGTAGCCCACCCATCCCAGGCTTTGGCTGCAGACAAGTGGGCCCAAGGCCACCCCTTCCCCCAACGGTGGACCTTAATTCAGACTTCCTCTGTGCCCTGGGCTGTCAAGTGCAGCTAGATGGAAGCTGGTCAGCATTCTTGCCCAGCTTTCCTTGGCCCCAGATTTACCTTTTCATCTATTCCAATCCCCTGGGAGAGAAAGCCAATATGTCACATGAACAAAAGTTCCTAATTTCAGCTCTGTTTCTAGGAAACCTGAGCTAAGACAACTGGGCATTGTCGAGAGTTTTTATGTGCTATAGTACTTACCTATGATCTTCTTCCCCAAGGGAAAGTATCTTCTCATGGTTTCCTCTTTGGTTGAGCTACATGCTAATTCTTACATCAGGCTCTGAAGGCAACTGATAATTGCACTGATGCCCTCTGACTATGCCTACTGTTTTATTCGGAAGCAATAGTGCAACACATTCTTGAACTGAATAAATAAAGTAAAAATGTTTTTTCTAAAAGGACTAATCTTACAATTTGGAAGAAAAGTTTCTTTAAAACACCAGCACATTCTTGGACATTGAGGGAAAGTATCTTTTTGGGAGAAACTCCCCCAAAAGATCAACAATTTAGCTTCTACCAGTTAATCATTTACAGTTTGCTGTCTAGGTAGGTAAACAAGATGTACCACAGAAAGATAAGAAGGTTGGCAAGCCTCGTAGGAACATTTACCAGTTCAAAGTCTGGCGATGAGTCCACTGCACCCAGAAGACCAATTTCATAGTTTCTATTTCCCCCACAGTGTGGTCTGAGGCTTGTGGATGATAGCAGGACAACAGGAGAGTGAATTCAAGGTTCGTCCGTGGGACTGAGTTATTAAGCTGTGGAGCCTCTTGACACTTATTTAAAATAGAGCTAATTTTAGTTCATCACTTATGTCTTTGATTATATAATTTCTTTAGCTTCACAAATCTGCTCATTGATATTCAATCTTCATTTCCTATCTTTTCATATTCTTCCCTTCCCCATTCATCTTATTTCAGACCCTGATAACCTACTTTTTCTCTTTTTGGTGAAACCTTTCTCTAGGTGAGTTATAACATGACTGCTAGTGGAGCTGGTGTGAGTGTTGTATAAGTTCCTGTAGCTTGCTAACAATCTTCTAGGTGATCACTGGCGTGGTTTCCAAGAGTCTCAGTAAACGATTCTACTTTTCTTGCCTGTTTCCAGACAGTTCTCCTCCTGGATGCCTATTTGTGGATCTCATAGATCCTTACATGGGTCTTGAAAAGAATATAAGCTCAAAGAAGGGTTAGTTCGGCCCCTGGACTAGACACCTCTAAGTGTTCTTGTGATAGAAATATGTGCTTGAAATATCCTCTCATCTAGGTAGTTATTTCCTGCTAACATCATCTTCCCAATTACTTGTCCTCCTATGCCAAATATCTGTGGTTCTATGGTATAAAATGCAAGTATCTTTCTGCATATAAAGCACAACAATTCATAGACACCTTCAAATCACCAAATGATTTCTATAAAGCATAGGATACCATTTTACACTGCAGTTAAAAAGTATTCGGGTCATCTGTAATCATTGTGAATAATGGTATCTAAATTTCTGTTTTCTCTGCCTTGCAAAGCCTTGAAGCAAAGATTTCAGAGTCCACATAGTAATTTGTGTGTGTTTGACCGGGCTTGCTTTCATTAGCATTGTTTCAGTGATCATGTCGCTTGTTTGTGGCCCTGGTGCTGCCTTCCTGCTAAGAAGTCAGAAGAGCTGAGTCCCTTTCTCCGTCTTCCTCTCCCTCTGTTCACCTCTACCTGCCCGGCTTCTTCAACCAAACATCCCCGCTGCCTGGTGTTAGTGGTTGCAACCTCCGTTTCAACAATTACAAAACATAAGCTATCTCTTTCCTCCTAAATAATAACATATCAATATAAACTTACTTCTATCTGATTATAATTTAATAAGTATTCACTTTAACTGTTTTTAAAATACAAAAATATTAAGACAAGGTAAGTCTACCTTAACTGTGTATCTGTCTTAGGATTTCGGTTATTTTTAAAAAGCTTAAATAGTTGAGCTCATTTTGTATACTAATTCTCTGGTATGCTATTTTTCACCTAATGCTCATTTGTAGGCATTTCCAAAGTTATTAGAATATGATTACAGCATGAGTAAAGGATCACCATAATACATCCTGGCATCTCATAAATTATTCTACATTCTGCTAGAAGAGAGTATCTAGTCTCTTTCCAATTTTGTGACTGTAAATAATACTGTTAACAATTCCAATATCTCAAGGACATTTTAATAGAAGATTCTTGAAGGCCCCACAAAATGTCCCTTTAACACCAAAGTGCAGGACTTGGCTACAGATGGTGGGTATAAATCCCGAAGAGGCGCTCTGGCTTCCCTGGGTTGCTACCTATGTTAACTACTTTGGGTGTGTCGAGAGTTGGTGGCAGATGAAGTGAATACTGTGGACTACAGCCGGCCTTTTGTGGTGCTAAGGAAGTGTTCCCTGCTAATTTAAATACGCATCTTCCGGCCCCTCAATGATTATTCGTGAAAGGGCGGAATAAATCCATAAATTAAGTGTTCTCCACAAAGAGATGTCATCTGAGGCAGAAGTGAACCCTTTACCCCCGCCAGTTTCTATTGTGCTGGCGTCTGAGGTGACAGTTCGCTCCTGCCGACCGACGGACGGTCCCCGACTCCCTCTAGTGGTGGGTGCTCCTGGGCAGACAGGATGGCTCTGCCCTGTCCATAAGCCCAGCGCCAGCGTCCTTAAATGACCTTCTGTGATCGCCGAGGCTGTGTTGTGGAGGGATCAAGGCTTTGTCTTTATAAGGCCGTCTGTGTCTGCTGCTGCCACAAGATGAGACACAGGGCGGGATTTCCCCCTCCAGGGCAGCATAGCAGCTTTTCCTTCAGTTCATTCAATAATCGGTTATCTTTTCGCCGCGGTTTGCGCTTGCTATGTTCGGAGGTACTTTGTGCGGTGCCATGGGTAAGCAGTGTCGCTAACGTGAACCAAGCACAGGGTAAACCGGCTGGGAGCCTAAGAACGGTCACGTAAAATGTTGGGAGAGAGGCATAACGTCACACTTTGGCTTTTTGTAATTTTAACATTTTAGAAACATAGAGGCAGCTCTGGCAAGCCACTTGTTTATGGCCATATCCAAAATCTCTTTGATGCTCTTTCTCAGTTTAGTCGACTGCCTCAGAGAGTCACACTGCAATTTTAGGAACGAATTGAGAAACTTCCATGTGTGAATTGTCTGAATATTTTATTGATCCTTCGAGTGCTTATAAAAGAGTCCAACTACAGTGATGTGACACGGCCTGGCTCCTGCTGAGCACGTACCTGTCTACTTCCTTCCTGCCTACCAGGGCAGACCGCTGAAAATTCTGGGGCTGGATTTCCTTATGTGTAAAATCAGAGGATTGAATTAGCTCTTCTAGTTGTAGGTATTGATAAAAAAACAATATTTAGCTCCTTTTTAGATAACAATCTGAAGGGAGATTGTTCCCTTTCCTCTGTTGTCTACCACCATCATTGTCAGCTCAGTTTTGGGCAAGAAACACTTCCTGCTCTAACTCCGGGATCAAGTGTGCCTAACTTTTCCATTGCTGATATAACCAGGGCATGAGAGCATCTCAGTCTGTACCTGTGGAGGGATAGCCAGCCCTCTAGGACTCAGTGTGCGGCGGCAGTGGGTGAAGACAAGTGTTCCCATTTCACAGGAGTCTCCAGAATGAGACAGCTGGCTGCATTCATGTTCTTTGCCTTTTATTTAAACAGAGACCAAGGCTAACAAATACTATAGCTCTAATCTGTGCAAATACAGTGAGCTCTTCAGCCCAGAAAACAGTTCTGCCTTTTTTTATTAGGTTGGGCTTTCAGTGTGTTTGAAGAAGAGCTATTTCTGCACTTGCAAATGCAGTGCTACAGGAAGAAAAGGTGTCCTTGCTGGAATTCAGGGGGTTTTCGCTCAGGAGGTTAACTGTGTGTTAACCCTTCACTTCCTGGGCACGTGTCACGCTGTTGCTCCCCAGACCTGGGAGAGACCTGTCATTAGGTCCTGCGAAGGACTCATTTGACCTTGAGACAGTCACTTTTTCCATGTGCTAGCCCTTGCTTAGGCTGATGGTGACTTCCTGATGAATAGGAAAGGAAAAGAAGCTGGAAAGGAGAAAGTCCTTTCGGGTGGAGTAGGGGTGTGTTGGTGTTGACAGGGTAATTTATATCTCATTCCAAGCTTGGTGTTTACAGACTTTGGTCAGGGTGAAGGAACACAGATTTATTATTTATTATTAGCATCACAGTCATCTTGGAAATAAAACAGATAGCTACTGTGTTAGTATAGACAGTGTAAAGTAAAACCATAGCTGTGGATTTGGAAACAGTTTGATGTAGAGAAGTGCAACAAGTCAAGCTGGAGCTTATTTAAGTGCTTGCAGAGCCACCTCTGCCTCATTAGGTGTGAACAGGCAACTCTGATGTCACCAGGTCATTTGGTTTCAATTTGTTCTGCTGTGACATTTCAGTAATTTGGCATCTCTTAAGCCTGGGTTAGGGCAAATAAAAAAATGACCTTTTATTTAAGCAGTTGGTTACCTTTTTTCAAAGTTTGATGGGGTAGGTGTTAGAACAGGGCAGTACCACAATCCTCAAAATACTTGAATGGGATGTTAATAAATGATGCTCCAGAAAAAATAGTCTGTGCTTGAATGAATTTAGTTAGCATTTCTGCAAGAGAACAAAGTAATCCCTGGTCTCCCTGGAACCTCAGCTGACCCTGCTGCTGTCTTATCCCATGACTGCTGATAGAAGTAACCAGAGCATCCTTGCACCTCCTGGCTCTCAGACATGGCTGGAGTAAAGTTGCTGGTCTGTTACTAGGGAGTGATGTGTGCCTCTTCATCCAATGACTGGACCCCAGAGCCGGAGAAGGGCTGCATTCAGAGGGACCACCGGGCACCCAACTTGCCTTAGCCTCTGTTAGCCCCAGGTTGCGTGCTAAGTTACACTTCTGAGGCTTGTGCTTTGGAGGTCAGCACTCTGGCTCCCCTCCTGCAGATACCCTTCCCAGAGGTCAAAAAAGTGATGTCACTTAGAGCCTCTGGCCTCTCCCCTTTGTGGACCAGTGGTTCTCAGAATGGGGTCTCCCAACCAGCAGCATTTCATCTCCTAGAAATTTGCATGAAATGCTGGTTCTTAGACCTCCAAAACAGATCTACTGAATTAAAGACTTTGAAGGATAGTCTTAGCAGCCCTTTTGATGATTCTGATTCTTGCTAAAGTTTAAGATTTGCTACTCGAAACAGGGTATGGTGGTGCATGCCTGTGATCCCAGCACTCTGGTAGGCTGAGGCAGGAGGATCATAAGTCTTCACTCAGGCTAGGAAACTTAGAGGCTTATGGAGACCGTGTCTCAAAATAAAAACTGAAAAAAGGGCTGGAGCTCAGCATAAGGTCTTTGAGTTCAATCCCAGTAACCTCCTCAAAAAAGAAAGAAAGCTGTTGTTCTAAAGTAGACCATGCTCTGTGCTCTGGACACGCAGGACAACCTGTGACAGGGCTTGGAGCTCACCTCCAGGGTTTGCCTCTTTCCTAGGTCCAAGGAGAGAAGTGTCTCCAGCATCCAGCAGTGGCTCCCTAGGGGCTGGAGAGCTTGACAGAAGTTGAGTTGGCAGTTCGAATCATACCTTGGCATCTCAGTCCTTACCAGAATATATCTTTAAAGCATGAAGACATATATAATATATTTAACGATTGTTAGTTTGACCTAATTTTTAAAATATTTAGATGCATGGTATTATAAGATCCTCCCAGGGAGGAATCCC